TTTAAACACCACATCCTCTGGGCGTAAGTTTCTCTAAGCGAGGTGCAGTTTGAGTGTTGTTACCTGTAGTCTGTGTGCAGTGTAGTTGTAGTACTTTAATCTGTCGTTGGCCGCAGCTCCTGTAGAAATGTTCAGCACGCTGTTCCTAACTTGGTCCAAGGTTTTGTTGGACTGACGAATATCTCCAATCAGATTCCAAATACACGCATCGCAGTCTGGGAGGTGGTAAGGGTTATTGTTCATATTGGGTTATCACATTTTTGAATGTTTATACGATTTTCTGAACAATTCTCAGTTTTTAATTTGATGTAAATGTTTACTTGCTTGAAAGATCAAATCTAAATGGTGCTTGTTTGTGTAAGTTCTGGGGCTCAAAAGTCAAAGTCTACAATGCTTTGATCCCTCTGGAAAATAATCAATTACTCTCTATATTACTAATTTTCTAAAATAACATTATAAGTGAACCTTAAGGAACATATTAACAAATTCAAAAATGGCATGTCAATGTTATTTCCCTTTAAATGGCAATAAAACTTCAGATTTTAAATGTGGACGTTTGGATATTGTTTGAATTAGTGTTTTCTCTTGAACTCACCGATATTACACTCGCTGATTTGCGAGGCCTCGGGAAGACACTCTCCTGTGTGCATGTCACAATTCTCCTCTGGGCAATCACATTCTGAGGAACACACAGTGCACATTATACATTAAAACACACATCCAAAGCAACTACACAACCGTGATCACAAACAAAAGGCCTTTTCATACTTGGAATAGGTAAAGTTAAGATGAAACGGAAGTAGCGACAAATCTTCCATATTGTGAACCCTTACGAAAAAGAAGTTTATTCAAGTGTGCCATTAGTAATACTTCTTTTAAACTAAAAATAAGAAAGTATACTTTCAGTTTATTTTTCCTGTACTTCAGAAGTATACTATATGTACTTCTCAGAAATATACTTCAAATTACACTTAAGTGTACTTGACTTATACTGAGAGAAAAGCAAGTATATTTGTCCTGTTCTTGTACTCAATCTTTTGATAAAGAAATACTTAAAAGTATAATTAACTATTCAAAGTATACTTGTATAAGTATTACAGTAAAAAAGTAAACTACTAGTATACCCATAAATTCACTTGCAGTACACATTAGATACATAATTATGAACTAGTTGTGCACTTACTGTTACACTGATAGTACACTTAAATGTATACTTTTATGTACTAAAAGTGGGCCAATTTAGTCCCAAGCGGTATTAAAATAGTAGCCTACACTTACAAGTTTACTACTAGTACATAGTGACATTAGTATACTTACTACCTAATGTATACTTAAAATATACTTGAACATTACTTAAGTATACTACATAAAATGAACTTGAAATATACTTCTTTTTCGTAAGGGAAGTAATGTTTCTTAACCCACGGAAAAATGCGTTGCTGATCCCCAATCTAAATGAAATGTTCCTTTACTCAAGGATAAAAGTGAGGTTTAGAGACGAGGTTTATAATGCAATGAAAAGCCCAAAAGTACATTGCACAACTGGGTCAGCATGTTACAAATTGATTTACACTCTTAATTTTAAGAAATAGACAAAAACTTAAATTATATACATTTTTGAGACACACCAGTTGTCACTAATGCACTCTAAGCAGCTGGGGTTCAACTGAAACATTTCCCCAAAAGAGCAATCGGAACAAATTGACTGCATTTACTAGAAATAAACTTCAGCAAAGATGCCCTCATTTCTCTCTCTTTTCAACACACTGACATGAACTCAAAACTTCCAGGGGTCACAACTGGGGCCGGTATGTTGAGATAGAGATGATGATGTCATGAGAAATAATGTAAATCCCTGTTCTTATGTGCAGATGGCCAAGTGTGTGTGGGTGTGCAGATCCCTTAATGAAATCAAGACCGACGGGTTGTGAGAACAGCTGTTCAACTGTTCTGCTCAGGACAAGGACCTTTTGCCAGATGGAAAGAGGTGCTGCAGTCAACAGGAAAACTGCCATGACGGTGCTGTTTAAATTACTTAAAACTGTTGCTAAGTGAAGATTTTATTGCTGATTGTTAGCTGTTGACTACTTTCATTATAGAGGTTTAGGTGAGGTTCTTTTAAAGGAGAACTCCGGTGCAAAATGAACCTTTGGTCTTATAAAACATCGGCACCTAGTCGACCATTCTCTGAGATTTGTTTTCATGATAATCAAATGTAAAGGGTTTTATCTCTAAAAACTGTTTTGCGTATAATGCTAGTACTGGGGGAATTTACTAAATAAAAAGAAATCGCTAGTTTATACCACTAACAAGGCTCAAAATAGCCCCACACTAACACAGTAACATAATGAGGGTCACTGCATGCAAAACGAACCATTGAGAACTTTGTAAGTGTTCAGACCGTTGAATAAGAAGATACTTTACACTGTTAGACCTTACCAGGTTTTTTACAGTAAAATACTGGCAACACTGTTGCCAGTAATTTACTGTAAAAATGCACTAAGACTCAAGTTAACTAAAAAATACAACTTATTAGTTTTAGTGCATTTTTACAGTAAATTACTGGCAACACTGTTGCCAGTATTTTACAGTAAAAAACCTGGTAAGGTCTAACAGTGTATAAAGACAGTTCACTTTGTGTATATATGATCTGAACTGTATATGAAGTTCAGCGAACTTCTGAACTGTATGAACGGCGTTTGTGGTTCGGCTTATCGAGACTTACTTGTCTGTATACACAAAGTGAAATGTCTTTATAAAGTATCTTCTTATTAAACGGCCTGTACACTTACAAAGTTCTCAATGCTTCGTTTTGCATGTATGGAGCCTCATTATGTTACTGTGTTAGTGTGGGGCTATTTTGAGCCTTGTTAGTGGTATAAACTAGCGATTTTTTTTTTACTTAGTAAATGCTCCCAGTATTAGCATTATATGCTAAACAGTTTTTAGAGATAAAACTCTTTACATTCGATTATCATGAAAACAAATCTCAGCGAACGGTTGACTAGGTACCGATGTTTTATTAGACCAAAGGATCATTTTGCACCGGAGTTCTCCTTTAAGTCAGAGTTTGGTTGAGGAGTCTTTTTTAAACAATGAAATATGGCTTTTAAAACCAAGTGTCACAGCCTTAAATATTTAAGTTTTATAAAATAACTACTTACTCCTGTTCATACTGAATCCAAAAATTTGTATTATGTAATGTTATTCTTTGTTTGTATTCATAATCATTTGTAATCATTGTATTTTGTTAATCAGTGTTCTTGAATATGAGTGAGGGAGACAGGAAGTGTGTGTGCAGGAAGAGTTGGAGACATGGAATGTGTGCAATAAATAAAAGAGATCCCTTGGCAAAATAACTGGTCCTGAGAATTAAACAACAAATGGGAAAAAACTTACATTTTTTAATCTACAATATTGTATTGATGATGTGAAGCATGTTAGTAATGAAACATGACACATCAGTATATGCACTGCCCTGTATGGAAGAATTTTTGTATAAGACAATAGGCAGTGAAATGTGCTGAACCTCCTCCAGCCGTGAATCAAGCCATATGCGGTTTTTAACAGACTCACTCTTGCAGCCGGATGTGCTGTAATCCCAGAATCCTGGCAGGCATCGCTCGCAGTATCGGCCTCCAGCCCCCGGGTGGCACTGGCAGCTGTGTGTGAGAGGGTGGCAGGTGCCACGCAGGGCAGCAGAGGCACATTCACACCGACGGCATCCATACAGCTGCCAAAGCCAGAGTAACCCTCCTACACATTCAAAATGCGAAGATTCTCAAGAAAAATTGCATATTAAATGTGCTCAGTCAGTGTGCATATGCGTTTATTTGGGTTTAGACGCATTTTAAGAAATAGAGACTGATCATGGAGTTTCTGGGCCAATACAAAAAATACTCAACCACTTTTTAAGGCAGATACAAAAAAAACAATCATTGTAATTTTGCATTTGAACCATTTCAACTGCCGGTGTTAGTAAATTAATTTAAAAAGTACATTTTAAACCAAAGACTTTACAACAAATATATATTTGCAATATTTGCAATTTATATCTATTACACAAAGTGAATGTGCAGTTGTTGCTTTAAAGCTGCAGTCCGCAGTTTTTCCTCTCTGTCGCCATCTCTGTTCGAAATCTGCAATTGCAGTTATTTGTGGAATTATCAACTTTACGTGAGTTCTACTTCAACACCCTCGACACAGCACAGTGTGGATGAACACAATGTTTTGAGGAGAGTGTGTGGCTGTCGGTCACCGCGCCGGTGTGGATATTGTCATTCAGAATCACAGATTAATCTTTTTGGAAGTATGACCGACATAAGAGTTTTCACCGCAAAATGTCATCTGAACAAGTAAGAAATATTCTCTTTTGTTCTAGTTCTGATAATTGCAGTAAATCGCGCTTATTCAATCTAACAATCATTTATCATATCACGCAAAACCATGCAAATTATACTTTGTTCTCAAATTGTTAATGTTAACAACGTCAGCATTGCGTGACTACTTGTAATGCCCTTCCGATTTTATCGTTTTATTGTTTTCGCATGGGTCATCATCCTCACAGATGTGACGTAATGACTAGCCGAGACTCTTCTTAATGTGTGCAGATGTGACGTAATGACTCAATATAGCCTACTAGCCGAGACTCTTCTTAATATGTACAGATGTGACGTAATGACTCAATATAGCCTACTAGCCGAGACTCTTCTTTATGAGTACAGATGTGACGTAATGACTCAATATAGCCTAATAGCTGAGACTCGCCTTTATGTGTACAGATGTGACGTAATGACTCAATATAGTCTACTAGCCGAGACTCTTCTTTATGAGTACAGATGTGACGTAATGACTCAATATAGCCTACTAGCCGAGACTCTTCTTTATGAGTACAGATGTGACGTAATGACTCAATATAGCCTACTAGCCGAGACTCTTCTTTATGAGTACAGATGTGACGTAATGACTCAATATAGCCTACTAGCCGAGACTCTTCTTTATGAGTACAGATGTGACGTAATGACTCAATATAGCCTAATAGCCGAGACTCGTCTTTATGTGTACAGAAGTGACGTAATGACTCAATATAGCCTAATAGCCGAGACTCTTCTTTATGAGTACAGATGTGACGTAATGACTCAATATAGCCTACTAGCCGAGACTGTTCTTTATGAGTACAGATGTGACGTAATGACTCAATATAGCCTACTAGCCAAGACTCTTCTTTATATGTACACATGTGACGTAATGACTCAATATAGCCTAATAGTCGAGACTCTTCTTTATGAGTACAGATGTGACGTAATGACTCAATATAGCCTAATAGTCGAGACTCTTCTTTATGAGTACAGATGTGACGTAATGAGTCAACATAGCCTAATAGCCGAGACTCATCTTTATGAGTACAGATGTGACGTAATGACTCAATATAGCCTAATAGCCGAGACTCGTCTTTATGTGTACAGATGTGACGTAATGACTCAATATAGCCTAATAGCCGAGACTCGTCTTTATGTGTACAGATGTGACGTAATGAGTCAATATAGCCTAATAGCCGAGACTCATCTTTATGAGTACAGATGTGACGTAATGACTCAATATAGTCTACTAGCCGAGACTCTTCTTAATGTGTACAGATGTGACGTAATGACTCAATATAGCCTAATAGCCGAGACTCGTCTTTATGTGTACAGATGTGACGTAATGACTCAATATAGCTCATACTAGCCGAGACTCTTCTTTATGTGTACAGATGTGACGTAATGACTCAATATAGCTCATACTAGCTGAGACTCTTCTTTATGTGTACAGATGTGACGTAATGTCTCAATATAATTTACTAGCCCAGATTCTTCTTTATGTGTACAGATGTGACGTAATGACTCAATGTAGTCTACTAGCCGAGACTCGTCTTTATGTGTACAGATGTGACGTAATAACTCAATATAGTCTACTAGCCGAGACTCTTCTTTATGAGTACAGATGTGACGTAATAACTGAATATAGTCTACTAGCCGAGACTCTTCTTTATGAGTACAGATGTGACGTAATGACCAGCCAAAACTCTTCTTAATGTGTGCAGATGTGACGAATTGACTCAATATAGCCTACTAGCTGAGACTCTTCTTAATGTGTACAGATGTGACGTAATGACTCAATATAGCCTACTAGCCGAGACTCTTCTTAATGTGTACAGATGTGACGTAATGACTCAATATAGCCTACTAGCCGAGACTCTTCTTTATGAGTACAGATGTGACGAATTGACTCAATATAGCCTACTAGCCGAGACTCTTCTTTATGAGTACAGATGTGACGAATTGACTCAATATAGCCTACTAGCCGAGACTCTTCTTAATGTGTACAGATGTGACGTAATGACTCAATATAGCCTACTAGCCGAGACTCTTCTTTATGAGTACAGATGTGACGTAATGACTCAATATAGCCTACTAGCCGAGACTCTTCTTAATGTGTACAGATGTGACATAATGACTCAATATAGCCTACTAGCCGAGACTCGTATTTATGTGTACAGATGTGACGTAATGACTCAATATAGCCTAATAGCCAAGACTCATCTTTATGTGTACAGATGTGACGTAATGAGTCAATATAGCCTACTAGCCGAGACTCATCTTTATGTGTACAGATGTGACGTAATGACTCAATATAGCCTAATAGCCGAGACTCATCTTTATGAGTACAGATGTGACGTAATGACTCAATATAGTCTACTAGCCGAGACTATTCTTTATGAGTACAGATGTGACGTAATGACTCAATATAGCCTACTAGCCGAGACTCTTCTTTATGTGTACAGATGTGACGTAATGACTCAATATAGCCTAATAGCCGAGACTCATCTTTATGAGTACAGATGTGACGAATTGACTCAATATAGCCTACTAGCTGAGACTCTTCTTAATGTGTACAGATGTGACGTAATGACTCAATATAGCCTACTAGCCGAGACTCTTCTTAATGTGTACAGATGTGACGTAATGACTCAATATAGCCTAATAGCCGAGACTCTTCTTTATGAGTACAGATGTGACGAATTGACTCAATATAGCCTACTAGCCGAGACTCTTCTTAATGTGTACAGATGTGACGTAATGACTCAATATAGCCTACTAGCCGAGACTCTTCTTTATGAGTACAGATGTGACGTAATGACTCAATATAGCCTAATAGCCGAGACTCTTCTTTATGAGTACAGATGTGACGTAATGACTCAATATAGTCTACTAGCCGAGACTCTTCTTTATGTGTACACATGTGACGTAATGACTCAATATAGCCTACTAGCCGAGACTATTCTTTATGAGTACAGATGTGACGTAATGACTCAATATAGCCTAATAGCCGAGACTCTTCTTTATGAGTACAGATGTGACGTAATGACTCAATATAGTCTACTAGCCGAGACTCTTCTTTATGTGTACACATGTGACGTAATGACTCAATATAGCCTACTAGCCGAGACTATTCTTTATGAGTACAGATGTGACGTAATGACTCAATATAGTCTACTAGCCGAGACTCTTCTTTATGTGTACACATGTGACGTAATGACTCAATATAGCCTAATAGCCGAGACTCGTCTTTATGAGTACAGATGTGACGTAATGACTCAATATAGCCTACTAGCCGAGACTCTTCTTTATGTGTACAGATGTGACTTGATGACTCAATATAGCTGATACTAGCCGAGACTCTTCTTTATGTGTACACATGTGACGTAATGACTCAATATAGCCTAATAGCCGAGACTCGTCTTTATGAGTACAGATGTGACGTAATGACTCAATATAGCCTAATAGCCGAGACTCGTCTTTATGAGTACAGATGTGACGTAATGACTCAATATAGCTGATACTAGCCGAGACTCTTCTTTATGTGTACAGATGTGACGTAATGACTCAATATAGCTGATACTAGCCGAGACTCTTCTTTATGTGTACAGATGTGACTTAATGACTCAATATAGCCTACTAGTTGAGACTGCTTTATGTGTACAGATGTGTGTGTGTACAGATGTGGCGTAATGACGCAAAGACATGAACGAATCTCCCGCGGAAATCCACCAGTACCACTCAATTAAAAACATTATTACAAGCTTACCGCTTTGAATCGAGCTAAGGCACAAAGATAGATTTGAACACTAACATATTATATTTTATATTTTATCAAATATGAATTTTGGATCATTTTATACCAAAAAAAAGCTACGGACTGCAGCTTTAAGGAGGTGTTTATACCTGATTCTACCTACAAATTCTAATTTTGTTGTTTTAACCTATACTTCTATTAGGTTTATGTAACATAGAACAAGCGGACGCTGATTTAACTTAATTGAGTTAGATTGACCCAACATACAATTTCCAATGAACCTCAGGACGGACACATTCGCACCCGCTCCTTGCTGATTAAGGTGCATCAAAGTGAAATATACTTACTTATGTCATAAGTGACATATTTCTATACTTATATGGCTATACTTCACCACCACAATGGTAAGCACAACGTTCAATAACAAAAAAATAATCCAAATGTCCAACATAACTGAACATTAAACATTTACAAACTACCAGCATCTTTCCCTTCAGTTTATTGCAAAGCATGCTGGGAACTACAGATCCATTGCCTATGACAGCGTTTAACGCCGTAAGCCTTTCGTAGAGCCTTTGCCACCAACGGTCTCTATGATCAACTTAGCGCATGATACTTTTGAGAAATGCAGCCCTGGGCAGAGGATGTGTAATGTTCACTTGGATATTTAGAGAAGTTTCTGTTATTTGGACGTTGTGGTTACCATTGTGGTGAAGAGTAGCGCTCAAATGAGATTTTCACTTTTATACAGCTTAATGTGTAAAATAACTCAAAATCACAATATCTCATTAAAGCAAAATTGCATGTGTCCATGCTGAGCTTTAATGGAAATTTTATGTTGGGTCAATCTAACTCAATTAGTTTAAACAGCATTCCCTTGTTTTATGTTACATCAAACTGATAAGTAAATGTGTTCAGCATTCAGCAATATGTATTTTTTTTTTAGTTTTTTTAGACTATTTGAAGGGGGAGTGTGATTATATTTATACTGTATATAGTGACAATTTATAATTCTTTGAATGTCCATACCTCACACCTGTCACATAGGTGACCTGTGACCCCAGGCTTACAGTGACACACACCTGTCCGGTCATCACATGATGCCGTTCCACACTTGTTGCACTGACACTCTGAAACAGAGAGAGAGACATCATATTAACCCTCTAAACAAGAAATTCTGTAATGCACACGAGCCATAAAACAGAAATGAAATATAGTAAACATAAGCCCCTTTCACACAGCACGTTGATCCCGGGAAATTGCCAGAACGCCTTCTGTGTGAACGCAAACACGACCCGGAATTGATACCGGGACTGATCCCGGGTTGGGGACCTATTAACATTGCCGGGATCAGTCCCGGAACGCGCAGTGTGTGTACAAAAGCCAGGACCAATGCCGTAAAGGGTGTCTCATAGTGATGACGATCGTGCCATCGCACGACTCTGTTGCTCATTAGAAGAAAGTTTGTATTCGTCATCAACAAAGAAAGGACGAACAAATACCTGCAAACTGGAGCAAAGCAGAGACCATGAGCTCCTCACTATCCGCGCTGAAGCTGAGATCGTTAACCAGCTTTGTGGAACGGTATGCACGTGTACATGTTTTCGACGTGTCCGTTATATGTCTCATCCTGATGTCATGCGTCTTCCCGGGATTTTTATGGGTCGTGAGTGAACGCACTCACAGATCCCGGAAAATCACTGGCTGTGTGAATGAACCGAAATCAAACAATCCCGGGACAAAATGCCGGGTCACATTATCCGTGTATTTTCTGGAATCTCTGTGTGAAAGGGACTATATTTAGAACAATCTAACTGACAAAACTGAATAAACCTGAATAACATCAGTACTGAATAACATCAAGAATTGACTATCTATGGCTGATGGCTGTAGACTTTGGAGAAACCTGTTTGAAAATGAGTTTTGCAATTCTGTTTTATTCAGATAAAGAGGCATAACTTACACATATCTTTAAAGTCTTACTACTATAGATTAAGAATCAGTAGGACTACAATCACCACAATACTCCAAATACTGTAGGGTCACCAGAAATTATTCAGCAATTTAGCTTGCAATGCATCTGTGAAATTAGCTGTTAAAAAGGCAGCTGTGGTTACAAGAAATTTGCCGTAAAAAAAACTATGGTAGCAACATTAGGTTTTACAGATTGATCTTAAATTTACAATAAAAAAACAAACAATTAATTGTTTGTTAATAATACATCTTCTTTTTAACTTCCAATAACTACATTCAACAATATTTTACAATAAAATTACATATCTCACTGGAATTATTGCATTTTTGTATAGAAAATTTATAGAGTATGGGAATATGCAGTTAGGGTAGAAGACATGAAGAGCATGACTTTTTTTAATAGCTACAAGCTTTTGTTTAATTCACAGCCTGGTATAGTTGTTAATGCTAACAATCCCAGATGGACCTGAATGATAATATTATAGGTTCTAAGTTCACTTTATTAATGTTCAGCAGTTATATTATATATGTGTAGGCCTACACAACAAAATATAATATAATCTATTACTGCTGGCTAATTTTGACTCCAAGCCACAATATGTCAAGTCAAGGGAGCAATCAAATGTATTTTGCCATAAAATTTACAACTTCAGAAATTGAAGTATGTATTTGCTCTCTTATCTGGATATTACCAGAAAATGTTTACACTGTCAGTAATACATATTATAATTTCTAGCACCTACCCCGACAGTCCTTAGCACTGATGGCTTCACCATAGAAACCCGGAGCACATCTTTCACAGTTGTCACCAGCGGTGTTTGCCCAGCAGTTCAGGCACTGGCCTGTCATATTATTGCATTCATTGAAGATAAGGTTTGGGTCTGAGTTGCCATTACAATCACACTTTTTGCAGGAATTGCCCACCTCCATGGGATTGCCATAATAACCTGGAGCACATCTTGGTGGTGAGAGACAAAAAATGTAATTAGGAGTAAAATATAAAAATTCTACTTAAAAAAGTATATATCAAGCCATTTGTGGGTGAAGAACCAACCTCTCGCAGTAGTGTCCAGCATATCCTTCCTGGCACACACATCTCAGAAAATTACCCCTCTTATCACAGTAATCTGCAAAGCTGAAAAAAAGAAGAAGAAAAAAAAACATCAGACATCCTGCAGGACACTATTCGCTAACAAGGCGCTCTAACAAAGACACTAAAGACCACAATCTTTAACAACAGTCGCTAGTGATACTCACTCTCTTGAGATCAGGGGAGTGAGGTTTACCTACACAGCTGTCAATAGCTGGCCTCCGCTACACATACAGTATAATAGGATACACAGGCCTATAAGAAAATAGCCTACAAGGCCTAATGCCATTATTTCATTACACTAAAGGTGTGTTACAATCAACCATAAGTGCACATCAAAATGTACTTCACAAAGTAACCACCAATCACTGATCCCCATACTGCAAGGAATTGAGGCTCCAGTGTTTTTACCTGACCCAGATTTAGATTGTATGGGATTATTTGCAGGTATAAAATGAAATTTCAAGATTGGTTCAAGAATGTTCAAGAAAATTTCAAAATCCTCCAAGTTAATAGTGCATTTAAGACATTAAATACAAGTTTGAACAATGTATATTATGGCTCTAACACTCTGTGTTGAACTGTATTTATTTAATTAAACAAAACTGCATTTTGACCGCATAAAGGTGTTTTCTTATAATTAAAAGAGGTAAGACTGATTTAAGGAAAGTTCAAATAAACAATTCCCTAAGGTTGGCCACACACGTGAACGTTTTGAGCCCAAACCAACACAATAAGGTGGGCAGAAAGGCAAAAAGATACTGGCATTGCCCAACGTCATGTTTTACCATTGATCTTGTAATATTGATCCAATTATTTATTGGGCAAAGCAATTGGGTGAAGACTGAGCATGCATCTTTCAGGCAGTCTCTTTTCAATGCCCTGCCACCACTAAACAGAAGTATCTGACAAGCAATCCATTGGCGAAACAATCACTTTCTTTGCTACCAATTACATCCAATGCACTTTTCCCACCATCCCACTGTTAATCGATCATTGCCTTCAGACATAGTTTAAAAAGGGATTTAGATGAGGTTTCTTTAAGTTTTCTTTCATTTGAACATATGGTAATTTTTTTAATATTCCTAAATCTAAATTGTATAGATATCTGCAGATACAAAGCCTAGTCAAAAAATGATTTTAATTCTCTTTTGACACCATCTCATAGTCCAGATGCTCATAGTTAGTTGTTAGACTGGGGCGCATCTGAGTGAGGTGATTGAGGTCTGATATCTAGAGTTTACAGTCTGATTCAAAGTGTGGCCACTCCATCTTTAGATTTTCTTTAGGAAACAGTGGAACAAGGACATGGCAAGTGTAGTCGCAAAGGATGTCTGCCAGTCAGCAATTAGGCAAAAACATTCAACATTACTTTGAGTCAGGTAGGGTTTACTGCAATTTAAGATAATTCATAAGCTACTTTTTTTCTGGGGGTAATTTGGAATATTTACAGAAACAGATTCTGGTCTGCTGTGTTTGTGTCATGAAGATAAAGATGGATTAAGGTACACAGGATCCATTACCAAGTGATTTTAACAATACAGTAAACACAAGAACCGGTGTAATGTGCAACAGAGTGAAACAAGAGTAAACACACACAACAAGTGCACTACACTCACCGCCTTCTACTCTGTACGCTGTGCTTCCCAGGTAGGGCCCCAGTGCTCCTTGTTCCCCTACCCTTGCCTACCTTTAGTGGTAGTTGACACTATCACTTCAGCTAGAGCCCCCTCCATGAGGCGCGCTTATGCTTTGAAGTAGAGTCTGTTTGCTGAGTGGTGTTCATCTCGATGAGAAGACCCCAATAAATGCCCGGTTGGCTCTGTGCTTCCTTCCTTCAAAGAGGGCTTGGAGCAGAGGCTGTCCCACTCCAGCTTGAAGGTCTATGTTGCCGCCATTGCAGCTCACCAGCCCAGCAGTACTAGTGTGCATGCCCACCTGGTCAGCTCTTGTACTGGACTAGATGCCCATACGATGTGATTGCCAATTAGTAATCCCGTGTGTGTATGGTCCACGATGCAGTTTCCCTCTTGTTGAAACTCTTGTTGGCTCTGCTCTGCCCTGTTTCTGCGCTGTAGTTCTCTCTGGCCAAGTAGGACCTGCCTCAGAGACATTTCATATGTAGCACTGCCTTACGGTTCAGTCCATTGCCTATGTGTACTTCCACACATTACCTCCCTTCAGGCAGGGTGTGGTCTTCGTAGCGTTCTCCTCTTTAGGGTTGGGACTTTTCCCCAGTGTTTGGTCATGGCCGAGATAAGTTGGCAATTGAGTTCCAAAGTACTCTTCCCAGGGACAGGAACAGCAGCTTCGAGTGAGAACCTTTTGGTATGGTGGACTTTCCTCTGGCTTACTTGGGGCGCTGAGCAGGTTACGACTTTGTGAGAGAAGTTCCCAAAGAGGCATGCACCAGCTTGCCAGAATCTGCATCTCCAAGATTTGTAACATAGTTCAGGCTTTGGCGCTTACCAGGGACCCAATACGTCAATATAGACGTAACATCGACTGACTGAATGAGAACGTCTGGTGTAACCCTGAAGGCATGCAAATCTCACTGGCAAGTGGCCAATGTTCATTGGCTTGTTTTGTTACAACTTGGAGACGAGACCTCAATACATCAGTATCAACGTGTGCCAAGTTCAGACTGATCTCATGAAGTAGCGTATGACACGCCAATTCGTATTTCCATTTTTGGCGTGCTATCAAGACGCATAATCGCCTTTCAGCGTGTTTGTGGTGAGCAGGACGGCCGAGGGACGTGAGAGAAAGTCGCGAGGCCGGTGGTGCGATTGCTAATGAGCAGCACCTGTGAAGCACACCGGTCTCGCATCTCTCACGAAGGAGCGGAGCCATAAAGGGGGAGCGACGGAGTGGATGATCGAGAGAGGAACAGGCCTGCTTTTATTTGTATTTTATATTTTATTTGGTAAGCCAGCAGTCGTCCGTGAGGGGCTGCTGGCAGGTAATTTGTTTGTTTATTTTATTTAAATAAAGTTTTATTTTATTATTATTATCCGGTTCCTGCCTCCTTCTTCCCTGAACTTTGTTACAGTGTTTATGAACGCCGTTGACTTAACGTTATATAAATATATGACTTACCTCAACCTCGTCCCTAAACCTAACCGTCACTGGGGTTAATGGCATTTATGACTGTTCCCTTACCATCCTAGGTAAAAAAAGATATGACTTACCGCAACCCCATCCCTAAACTTAACCGTCACTGGGGTTAATGGCATTTATGACTAGAGATTTGACTGCGTGTTCAGACACGCGGTGATGCGGACGTTAATGGCGTAGACGTATACGCATACACGCGGATAGCTCAAATTGCGTAGAGATGACACGCCACCTGACTCGAAAGTGGCGTATATGTTTACGCAAAAGTCATGATGTCATGTTGGCCAAGTTTTACGTTTTTGTGCCATCTAGTTTTAAAAGTTTGTGAAAATTGCACCAAAGCAATTTTAAAAACCTGTGAAGAAGTTCAGGCCGAACTCTGAATACGTGTTCAGAGTTCAGTTCAGTTCAGAATACGTGACAACTGCATCCTAACTCACAATGAATGATTTACTGATACTTTTATGTGACAAAATATGCAACTTTAATATTGTCAACTGCTTTTGTGATTCAGTAATATATTTTGTTATTGATTTCAGTCCATTATTTTATTTATTATTCAATTTAAAGGCTCTCAATATGTTTACTGGGAAATGTGGGCCAAATGGACTGGATATTTCCAGGGCCAAGTGTTAGCCCCAGTCCAGCCTGAGAGATAAGACATTGTGAAAAGAAGCTTTTTACATTATGAAGTCCAGGATATGGATGTTTGTTCATGCTAAAAATATAAACATGATGCAATCACACAAATAACAATACTAGTATTGAAGACAACTTTTTTGCTGCATGTCATATTTCACTTTTAACAGGATAATAAGGACTCAAGTTATTTTTGCTGTTACTGTTAGGGATTGTATTGGCATGATTTAGTTGTAAATGTCTGAGGTCAAGACTGGACTCACTTGTTAGACTCTAGTGATATCGGGCAGGCACATGGTCTACACATGAATGTGCCATCAGGAAGAAGCACGGGTAAAAATCCATCTTCACAGTGCTCACAGAAATCTCCAATAGCGTGATCCTGACATCCCTAAAACACAGGATGCAGAAAGAATGTGCATTTCAGAAAAAAAAAAAAAACACAAATGCTGGTTACACTGCCAACAGAAATTTTTAAATCAACACCATATGTTCCAGTGAGACGAGTTACGACATCAGTTACCCAATGGAGAGTGTCAGTTGCTGTAAAGCACTTACATTAAATAATTAAAAAATGTTTTTACTTTAAAGAGTTTTGAAACTAATACTTACAATGCATATCCCAGTGATATCCTCACAGCTATCAGCATGGCCTTTACAGTTACAGGGGAGACAGGTTTCACGATCATTCAGGAAGAATCCTCGAGCACATACCTGCAATAAATCATTGCCAAACATGAACATGAACTATCAACAGTCATCATGATATGTGCCATATGTGTGAAAGTTCCTTCAACTACAGTCACTTCATATTCCAGGTATATGTTTTTAATAAAGCTTAACTAGGATATTTTAATTTTGCTATATGAAGGTCATCTAAAAAGTTCTCAGTTCATACATCACTGCTCTCCAGCTGATTTTTAGATAAAACTCCATGAACCGCTACAATGTCAATGTACGGAGCTACTGCCAGCGGTACAATTAACAGAAAATGTTTGTCCGAACTCACAAGATTTGCAAGACAACGGAGCTTTGATTTTTTTCCTCCCATCCCATATTTTCTTCCACCACCCATTAGTGGTTCCATAAGTTTAATCTGTTACTGTAAAATTTAGTTTAGTTTTTCTCCCAAGGTTTGTTCTCCATTCTTTCACCTGAAATTAAATTGAACATTTCACATTCAACAATAATATTGATCTGCCTGCATTGACACCATTAAATGAGAACTGAACTGAGCTGGATGATGACATCACTGTTTCTCCAGAGTGGCTATATATATATATATAAATTAACTAAATTACTAACTTTTTTTCCGACAAAAAGGAACCATCACTTAAATTAAGCTGGACTATGTATCCTAGAAACAAACTTTTTTGCATTATTTTCCTGTTATCTTGTTACAACACAGATCAATAATATTGTTGAATATTAAATGTCCTGTTGGACATATTCAATAATATTATTGATCTGTGTTGTGTTACGTTAATGTTATCAGTGTGAAGCTGCTTTGATACAATCTGTATTGTAAAAAGTACTATATAAATAAATGTGACTTGACTTGACTTGACTTATCTCTGTAAAGCTACTTTGAAATAATCCGTATTGTAAAAAAAAAAAAAAAAAAAAACGCTGTATAAATAAAGGATACCTGACTTGACATTTCTCAAAAGATATTTATGGTTTGGTTCAAACCTTAAATTTGTATTTTTTTTTTCAAAAACATTAATGCAAATTGAAAGGATTATTTATTAAAAAGACCATATTAATTGGGGGATGGGGGGGGGGTGTTGGATTTACATGAATTGATTTAGAAATCAAACATGAGAAATCAAACCTCCTCTTTTAGTGTGTGTTTGTGTATAGATTTGAGAGTCATCATTCATGATGTTTATGTTGTTAGAGTTATATTATGGTATACACTCACCTAAAGGATTATTAGGAACACTATACTAATACTGTGTGTGACCCCCTTTCATCTTCAGAACTGCCTCAATTCTACGTGGCATTGATTCAACAAGGTGCTGAAAGTATTTTTTAGAAATGTTGGCCCATATTAATAGGATAGCATCTTGCAGTTGATGGAGATTTGTGGGATGCACATCCAGGGCACGAAGCTCCTGTTCCACCACATCCCAAAGATGCTCTATTGGGTTGATATCTGGTGACTGTGGGGGCCATTTTAATACAGTGAACTCATCGTCATGTTCAAGAAACCAATTTGAAATGATTCGAGCTTTGTGACATGGTGCATTATCCTGCTGGAAGTAGCCATCAGAGGATGGGTACATGGTGGCCATAAAAGGATGGACAAGGTCAAAAACAATGCTCAGGTAGGCTGTGACATTTAAACAATGCCCAATTGGCACTAAAGTGTCCCAAGAAAACATCCTCCACACCATTACACCACCACCAGCAGCCTGCACAGTGGTAACAAGGCATGATGGATCCATGTTCTCATTCTGTTTACGCCAAATTCTGACTCTACCATCTGAATGTCTCGAGACTCGAGACTCATCAGACCATTTCCCCAGTCTTCAACTGTTCAATTTTGTTGAGCTCTTGCAAATTGTTGCCTCTTTTTCCTATTTGTAGTGGATATGAGTGGTACCCGATGGGGTTTTCTGCTGTTGTAGCCCATCCGCCTCAAGGTTGTGTGTTGTGGCTCCACAAATGTTTTGCTGCATACCTCGGTTGTAACGAGTGGTTATTTCAGTCAAAGTTGCTCTTCTATCAGCTTGAATCAGTCGGCCCATTCTCCTCTGACCTCTAGCATCAACAAAGCATTTTCTCCCACAGGACTGCCGCATACTGGATGTTTTTTCCCTTTTCACACCATTCTTTGTAAACCCTAGAAATGGTTGTGCGTGAAAATCCCAGTAACTGAGCAGATTGTGAAATACTTAGACCGGCCCGTCTGGCACCAACAACCATGCCACGCTCAAAATTGTCCTTTCTAAATGACCTTTCTTTCCATTCTGACATTCAGTTTGGAGTTCAGGAGATTGTCTTGACCAGGACCACACCCCTCAATGCATTGAAGCAACTGCCATGTGATTGGTTGATTAAATAATTGCATTAATGAGAAATTGAACATGTGTTCCTGATAATTCTTTAGATGAGTGTATTAACTGTACAGTACAACCTTTTTAATTTTACTGACTTGAATAATATATTACATACCATATATATATATATATATATATATATATATATATATATATATATATAAGAAAATAATGACAAAAAATTACAATCTCTGGGACCAATTTCTCAATGCTTAGGTCACTTTTTCAAAACTCTTCACACAGTGAGCACAACAGCAGTCCATGTGAGCTCTAAATGAAGTGAATGAAAACTGTACATATACAGGCCAATTTGCACATTTTATACTTTTTTCAAATCTGAAGTTCAAACTACAAAACGTCTCGGTTACGGATGTAACCCTCGTTCCCTGAGTAGGGAACGGAGACGTTACGTCAGAAGTGACGGAGATTGGGGGATTTCGCATGAAAGCCAATCCTCTTCGAGTATTTAACAACGAGCCAATGGCATGCAAAGCCTTGGGGCTGCGGAAATTTGCATAGCGTACTCCGCCCTACTCCGTGAGTATAAAAGGAGGAAGTGAACGCAACCGCAGTATGTCTTCGCTGAGGAGCCAAGACTGAACCCGGCGTCTACCCAGCGGTACAGCAGAAGTGGCAGGGAGACGTAACGTCTCCGTTCCCTACTCAGGGAACGAGGGTTACATCCGTAACCGAGACGTTCCCTTTCGTAGTCACTTCGAGTTACGTCAGAAGTGACGGAGATTGGGGGTCAGTGCCATCACGCCATCTTCAAGCTGTCTTCCAGTGCCCTGCGAAAGTCTGGACCCCTGAGCCTTACCTTCTTTTTTTTTTTTTTTTTTTACAGGGATCCCACTTTGACACAGGATTACCAAGGTACACTGGGAAACATATCCCGGGAGGGACATGCTATAGATGCCTACCGAAGGAGGACTTACAATACACATATGGCCGTATAGAAACGCATATGGAGATCACTGGAGCACCAACCGTAGGTGGCTACTAGAATTTAACTCCAGGGGTGGCAGATGGCTTGCCAAGGGAAGACACATGCTCAGAGAGGCTTACAGTGGATAATACACATGAGACAGTTACCATAGGGAACCGTGCACATGGAGGCACCTAGCCAGCATCCAGAGCAACCGCAGTGGTGCCCGCATCATCGGTGGTGGAGGACTCAAAGCTTCAATGGAAGACATTGAGGGAATATCGCACTTATCCAGTCCGAGGAGTGGAGTGGCGAGCAAGCGAAGACACCTAAGGGGGTCCAGTACTGGCGGAAGCGAGTACGTGAGAGGACACTGGCTCAATTCGCAGATAAGAATCTTGCGAAGGTGTTTGGTGTCGCCCAGCCTGCAGCTCTGCAATTGTCTGTTAGCGAGGCGCCGTGCGCTAGACCCCAAGAGGAGGCCACACTCCGAGTGGAATGGGCCGTCACACCAAGGGGGCACTGACGGCCTTGCTGCTGGTAAGACAAAGCAATGGCGTCCACTGACCAGTGGGACAGCCGTTGCTTTGAGAGAGCCCTTCCCTTCTGGCTCCCCCCATGACAGACAAGAGCTGGACTGAGGTCCTGAACACCGCGTCCTGTCAACGTAGGTGCATAGAGCACTTACCGGAGAGCAGTGCCAAGGCTGGGACTGCCTCCTCCAGGGGCAGCGCTTGCAGGTTCACCACCTGGTCCCGGAAGGGAGTGGTAGGAACATTGGGCATATATCCCGGCCGGGGTCTCAGGAACACGTGAGAGTAAGCCGGCCCGAACTCCAGGCACACTTCGTCAACAGAGAGTGCGTGCAGGTCCCTTACTCTCCTGATGGAGACCAATGCAATCAGGAGTGCTGTCTACATAGGACAGGGCAAAAACTCTACTGACTGCAAAGGCTCCAGGGGAGGCCTCTGCAGAGCACTTAAATCTACTGAGAAGTCCCCAGAGGGCACGAGGGGAGGGAGGCGGATTTAGCCCCCTCGCTCCCCTCAGGAACCTGATGACCAGGTCATGCTTCCCATAGACTTACCTTTCACTGCATCATGAGACGCGGAAATGGCCGCGACATAAACCCAAAGGGTGGAGGGCGACAGCCTACGCTCCAACCCTTCTTGCAGGAAGGAAAGCACGACTCCGATCGAACATCTCCGGGGGTCTTCTCCGCGAGAAGAGCACCAGCTGACGAAGAGGTTTCACTTCAACGCGTACAGGTGTCTCGTGGACGACGCTCTAGCGGAAGTGATGGTTGCCGCCACCGCAGGTGGCAACGAACTCAAACCTGCCCCGTCCCGTCCTGGAGCCACATGTGTAACCTCCAGGATCAGGGCGAGGGTGCCACGGAGTGCCCCGTCTCTTAGTGAGTGGATCTTGTCTCAGAGGAATAGGCCAAGGAGGTGCTGTCGCGAGGAGCATGAGTTCGGAGAACCACGTCTTGGTGGGCCAATAGGGGGCTACCAGCAAGACCTGCTCCTCGTCCTCCTTGATCTTGAACAACACCCGTGCAAGAAGGCTCACTGGGGGAAACGCCTACTTGCGTGGGCCCCGCGGACAGCTGTGCGCCAGTGCATCTGAGCCGAGCGTAGCCTCGGTCAGGGAATAACTGGGCGCAGTGGGATGAGTCCCGGGAGGCGAACAGATCTATCTGTGCCTCCCCGAACTGGTCCCAA